TAAGTTTTTGATTAGTCATTACAAGTTATGATATTCAGGTGATTTGATAAATAGAGTTATCGATATTAATGACATTATTATAATCCGATTGTAATTAGAACAGCCCAAATGAAAATTGGCCAGATCTAACTCAATGTCTGGGCTAAATAAATTTATCATTTAGCCAGATTATTTGCTATGACATATCAACCAAATATTGCCACTCAAATGTTATCAAATTGTGAACATTTAAATCATATCTGGGTTATATCCCACTGGATTATATCCCAACCAGAGTTATATCCTTATTTTAAGCAGAATAAATTTTCTTTTTTGTTTTTATATGTTTTGTATAATGAGTTAAAATTACTTTAAACTCTAACATATTCTGTATTTGTTTTTTTTAAACTAGAGTAGAAAACCAATTTTTCTTACAATCTTCAACAGCAGGTTTAATGATTTGGATAGATTTATGATATCATTGGTAGGTAGGTTTATGATTTTAATGAATTATTTAGCATAGTTGATTCTTTTAGTAACAATTTCAAGTATTATGTGTTCACTAATGTTTCTCCATCCCTTGATTTTAAGCACTTGATCATTTCTTATAATATAATACAGTACCTGCATTTATTATTCATTACTTCTGTATTTCGAAAAATTTTTAATTTATCATATGTTCACTTAATCAAAATATGCAAATAGTATGTTTCTTAGAAACTTCAAGGGTTATTGAAATTGCGATTTCATAACTTATTATTAATATTTGCCATCACCAATGCTTATTTAATTTTAGTTTAATAGTGAGTATAAAAGCTATTAATAAATTTACTTGAATATTCGATCTAGGATTTACTAAATTTTTTTCAAATATTGAATAAGATGGGTGGCGCGAAACGCCACCTATCAAACTAGTAATATAGTAAATACTTCGATTATTAATTACAAGATAAACAATTATAAGGTTACACAAGAAAAAATATAATTGTTAACTCTGTTACCGTATTTTCGCGTAATAACGCGCAGGGGTGTAATTTCAAATGGTACATTATTTTTGTAACACTGCCCATGTGTACTACCGGGTGTTGGAATAAATTTTGGATATTGATTACATCTTTTATATAATAAATATCCCAAAAAAGAAAAAATTCCCGATAAGACTATTCCAACACCAACTCCAATTCCAATAAACAATGCAACATTTGAATTATTATTTGCATTATTTGAATTATTAGTTGCAGGAGGTATTTGGTCTTTAGGTTTAATCGGATTAAATGTTGTAACCCATGGGTAGTTTTTGGTGTCAAGAATATAAAGCTTATTACTAAGTGGCAATACTGTGGACGTAGTTGGACCTTGACCTGAATTGGAAAATTAAAATAAATTACAAATTTTTTAAAATCA